CTTTTCCCCATATAATGCTAAACGTTTTCAATAATCACCTATGTGTCAAGACATAAAATGCATTAGAGGCCAGCCACGGGGGCTCATGTCTGGAATCTCAGCACTTTGGGAGGCTGAGGTGGGCTGATCACTTGGCCTCAAGAGTTTGAGACCAGCCTGACCAACAAGGTGAAACCCCATCTCCACTAAAAAAATATAAAAATTAGCCGACTGTGGTGGCGCATGCCTGTAATCCCAGCTACTGGGGAGGCTAAGGCAGGAGAATCATTTGAACCAGGAGGAAGAGGTTGCAGTGAGCCAAGATCGCACCACTGCACTCCAGCCTGGGCGACAGAGTAACTCCATCTCAAAATAAAAAACAAAAAACAACAACAGAAAGAAAATGCATTAGATAATATGATTCAGGTGGGAACCAAGTAGGCAAGGCAGGTTAGCAGTGGCCAGCAGTTCAGGTTTGAGTTGAACCCGAAGTGATGGAAATAAATGGGGGAAGTGTTTGAAGGCAAAGTGGAGTTCAACAGGACAACAGCAGTGTAGGGCATGTGTGGAGAAATTAAATTGCACTGAAAGCAGATGGAAAATGAATGCCCATGCCTAAGTCTACCTAATAAAGATTTAAAAGTCATAAAGACAGCAAGCTGAACATAAATCAGGCACAAAGGCTACAGCTGGAGCAGTAGGCGGAGTCCAGGCATGCACAAAAAAACATGAGACCATCTTTTTTGTTTTTTCATATTCAGCTAGGGAAAGACCTCTCTAGGGCACTGAATCAATCTCTTGGTCTCCTCATCAAAAGCACTTGTTAGAAATAAAATTAGAAAACAACCATGAATCTGATTTTCTGAAAAGTATAAGTAACACTGGATCAGAGTAATAAAGGCTGAGGAGGAGAAAAGGAAGAAGGCCTATTTTGAATATTTTCCCATTACTGACAGTAAGCCGGAAATGATGTCAGAGGGTTACACAGTCATTTAGGTTGTTCGTCGGTTGCATGAGAAAGGGGTCATGCCTGCCACATCTCCTGAAATATCTTCAGCCCTCTCATTATCCATTCAACAGACATGAATCTGTCCAGTGCTTTGGATATTTTGGAATTTCTTTCTTTCTTTCCTTTCCTTTTCTTTTATTTATTTATTTTTTTTGAGATGGAGTTTTGCTCTTGTTGCCCAGGCTGGAGTGCAATGGCACGATCTGGGTTCACTATAACCTCTGCCTCTTGGGTTCAAGCGACTCTCCTGTCTCAGCCTCCCAAGTAACTGGGATTACAGGTATGTGCCATCACACCTGGCTAATTTCATATTTTTAGTATAGTCAGGGTTTCACCATGTTGGCCAGGCTGGTCTCAAACTCCTGACCCCAGGTGATCCACCCGCCTTGGCCTCCCAAAGTTCTGGGATTGCAGGCATGAGCTACTGTGCCCCGTCAGAAGTACTTTCTTTTTAATGTGCTAGACTATGACCTGGGAGAGCAAGACAGACATGGCTCCTGTTCTCAGGAGGTAATGGCTTCCCTGTCTCATGCAGCATGTCCTTACTACAGATTGTTAGCGAAAGTGGTCATAATTATTCCCTCCCTATATCCCTATCCTTTTGCAATGTGACTGCAGATCCTATCAGCAAGAGATGGAGTCTAATTTCCCACCTTTTGAATCTAGGTTGGCAGGATGACTTCATTTGACCTATAACAAGCAAGGAGTTGACTGTATGCCAGTTCCTACTGTATGCCAAAAGAAGCTTTCCTCTCTTTTCTCTCTCTTGGAATCTGTGACCACCGTGAGAACAAGGCTGTGGTAACATGCTAGAGGGTAAGAGTCCACGTGGAGCTAGTCATTCTTGCTGAGGCCACGTAGATCAGCGAGCTGACCACCCACCCATCTGGCTGCTGCCCTCAGCGAGCCCAGCCAATACTAGAAGAAAGGTCTAGCCAAGCCCCGTTCCAATGGCTGTTCTACAGAATTGTAAACTAAGTAAATGGTTGCTTCTAGCCACTAAATTTTGGAATGATTTGTTGTGTAGCAAAAGCTGACTGAGCAGCTCTTAACTGTGTAAGTATGACTCCAAGCTTATTTTGGGCACAGAATGTTTTCATTGGCTTATCAAATTACCTTGATAACTGCCAAATCGCCACTCCACTTTGCGCTGTATGGACATTGCCTCACTGGACAGTTGTCAGAATATAGACACCCTGGGAAGGTTTGATATTGGATCTCTGATCTGCAGAATATGAAGTTGACTAATGTGCTTGAAATGTGACATATAGAGTATAATATATTCCTCAAAGAAAGTACAACTACATAAGGCAGAACATAAACATCCACAACCAATATAAACTTCAAACAAGTAGTTGAAAGGTTAAATGCAAATCCTGTTAGCTTTGTTTTCCAACATGATGGATCATGATGTGAAATGACGACTAAACACCTGTTTGTCACATTCTGGGTTTGTACAACTAATTCAACATGTCCTATAGACACAGCCATCAAGTCTCCAATTTCTCCTTCAAGTCATTTTATTATGTTGATATATTATTGCAACTATCACTAGCAGCTTATGTATTGTTCCAGTTGTCTGGTTGTAACTGCTTTAGTTCTAATGATGACACATCAGTGGAGATTAGCTAAAGAGAGCTTTGATTTGTCTTAATTTTTAAATATGTCGGAGCATCTTTCCCTCTTTTCCTGGTAGCCTCTCTTCTGTGTCCGGTTCTCTCAGTTGGGCATTTGGGGACAGCAGCCAATTCCAGGGCTAATGTGTTTCTGCTGTTATCTTACACTAATGCTGCTTCATAGAGGCAGCAATGAAGATAAGGCCTAATTGGATGTATTTTTAAAGCAAACCTTTTAGTTACTTGGAACAGAACTCCTCCAATTAGCTTCTTTTCTATCCGGCTGTACAATAGCCATACTGATGTGAAAATGCTGAATTTGGAAGGGAGTCAAGGGCAGTGTCTGGCAACTGAAGAATAATCATGCTTAACTCAGGAGAAATGCTCCACCAGATGGGCTCGGAGCTGTATTTCCACGAAGGCAGGTTGAGTGAAGGACAGCTGGGAGGTCATATGTGGCAAGAGGTCCTTGCAGTAGTCCAGGGTACACTACTAAGCAGCCATGCTCTAGAGCCCAGCAAGACAGGGAAGGTACAGGTAGGGACTGAAGGAGAAAGAGTCAATACTTCATAATGGCCATGATTTTGCTCCAGTGGAAATATTTTACTTCAAAGCAAAATATTTTACCCTTAGCTGAGGACTAGGCATTTTAAGTGGCAGTCTTTAACGTGTTATCCCCAGGTTGGTGAAAATCTATTTAAATCCCTGCCCTTTTAAAGTTCCTTACAAGATTCTAGCAGCCACTGAATAGGAGAGCTGCTTAGCATTAGGTTGGTGCAAAAGTAATGGTTGTTTTTACAACTACTTTTAAAAAGTAGCCCCTAGTAAAATGAGTAGGTTTAGAGGTCTTGATGTGGAAAAAAACATAGAGAAGAGAAGCAGAGTCAAAACCATTTCTTTCTGGCATTCATTTCTGAAATGGAATTAGAAGTGAGACATAATAAGTTAATAATCTCCCTTTGGCTGGAAGTGGGTCTGCCATCATTACCTCATGTTCTCTAGGGGGTGCGAGTTCCTGTGTTCCTCTGAGCATCACTGAATACCAGGGGTATGAGGATTAATGTCGCCCATGACAGATGCATCTGGGCCATATTACATTAGTCCTCTGGTCAATTAGAAAGGTTGAGCCTGGGCTTGGCTGGACGGCAGAGTGGGGTATAGAGGGGACAGTGAGAGACAGGGTGTGGTCAAGAGACAGCAGGAAGAAGCCGCTGCACCCTGTGCTGTCAAAGGCCTTCCCTAGCTCCTCAACCATTTGACTTGCTATTTATTTCTCGGGAGCCATCCGTCCTCACAGTCCTGACCCCTGGCTCTAGGAACTTTAGCCAAGATTCTGACTCCAGCCTTGACTTCATAGGAAGTTTCAATTTGAATTCACTGTTAAAAAAATTATACAGGCTGTGATTTTTGGATGCTGGCATCATTATTTAAAATTTACTTACTTGGATTAATATTAAAAATTAAGCCATGTATTTGATTGATTTTATAGATCAGAGGCCAAAGTTAGCCAACCAGTGACTTAACCATGTAGTATTAACTTGGAGACAACCTTTTCTCTTTCCTCCTTGTGATTTCCCATATGATTATGTGATTGTGTGTAAGTGTTGAATATTTTGTGTAGGTCCTCATTTGTACTCTTCTGGGTGCAGAAATACACCTTCCAAAAGCTAGTCACTATTCACCCTATTATCTCCAATAAGCATGAGGTCTGTTAAAAATTGTTTTATCTAATAATATTTCTTAGATTAATATTCATATGTTAAATATGATTCGTCTGTTAAATATATGATTCAGTCTAATATGTTTGATATTTTTAGAGTTAATATGTTTGATATTGCTAGAGTTCAGGTAGCAAACCAATAGCTACAGAGAAGTTAGGAATGGTCATCTTTTAATCTTTTCTCCTTTCCCATGATGCTAATTTTCTGTGAATATCTTGCATCCATGACCACAGTGGGCAAGGCACTGACCCTCTCTCTTTAATCACAGAGCCAGAGCAAGACTGGCTTTTGAGAAGTAAGAGGGATTTTGGAGTGACATCTATGAATTATATAATAATTCTGTGGAAAATGAAAAGGATTCTAGATCAGAATTACTTCCACAATGTGCTAAAGTCATAAATTTTGCATAGAAGTAAAAGCCATAAAAATAGTTATTTTGAATAGTTTCATGGATTTCTCATTGGTGTATCTTTATACCTAAATGAATATGTACAGTCAAATATAAAGAACACAATTTGTATAACAAACCTCTTCTCTAACACTAGAACCACAGTCTGCTCCCCTCTTCCCTCCATTCTCATCCTCTATAATGGATTAAACTCCTAGTTTGGCACAAAGATTTATAATTTTTTATGTCATCCCCAGTGGATGCACCTAATTCTAGAGGCTACGTACCTGATGATTAGTTCTATCCACTGTATTGGCCGTGGAGGGGTGGTCTCTAGTGTTCTGACGAATTCGAGTGGAGTTTTGTTGCTCAATGTTGGAAGAGGTTGGGATACAGAACTCTCTGAAGCATCGTTTGAAGTTTTCATCCAGAAATGCATAAAGGACTGGGTTGAGGCAGCTGTTTGTGTAACCGAGAGCAATGCAGAAGTGCCAAGAAACAGTCTGGAACGTAGTTTCCGGGATTGTAACTAAGGCTTTAATGATGACGTAAATGTGAATGGGAGTCCAGCAGATAATGAACACAGCCACCACCACCAGCACCATCCTGGTGATCCTTCGAAGATTCCTGTCCTTTTCTTTGGAGCCAGAGAGCATGCGGACACTCTTGAGGCGCAAGATCATCAGTCCATAGCACACGGTAATGATAAGCACAGGCATGATGAAGGCAAAGATGAAAACACAGATCTTCAGCAGGTTTTCCCAGTACCAGCTTGGATGAGAGAATGTTAGTGTACAATCGATGGAACCTAGAAGAAAGGAATTTAAAGGAAAAATTAGCAGCAACATTTAATTATGTCATAAGGTGTTAATACTGCCATTTTGCTCATTCATTTTTAGCCTTGACCAGAGCTAACTTAAGGCTATAAAGAAATTGTGGAAGAAACTCAGTTGTTTGTTACTTTTCAAAGAAAGTTTTACTTCTAATGTTTTTTTTTTTTTCCTAAATTTCTCATTTGCAGTCCACTTTGATCACATTAAGATTTCATTAAGGGAACAAAAATGAACGTCTCAACATGAGCTAGATCCTCCATGAGGTCTACATTGATATAAAAAATGTAATAATTGTCCAAAGTCTGTAGGAGACTCCACGTAATGGATGTTTTCACTTCATTTTTTGATAGATTGTTCAATATTCTGATATTAGGTGTAGAAAGACAAATTTGCTATGTAATCAGCCACTTGAAAATTTTCAACAAGCCTCAGTGTAATACTCTTTGGGTTTAAGCTCCAATTACTCTTGGGAGAGCTATGTTCTAATTTACACACCATTTTTATGAAGTAAATACAGAGAAATCAGAAATAAATAGATTATATTCTCTTTAAAGGGTTTAATAGGCCTAAAATTATGAGGAAAATTCCAATTTTAAAGTATTCAAAGGCTTTTTTTTACTAGAAAGAATAATTAAAATTACAATTTGACTAAGATGATGGACCTCTCTATAAATACTACTTTTCTTATAACATCACCATATCAGAAGGCTGTGAACCTTCCATCCCTCAGGCTGGTAACATCACTCACCTTGCCTGTATTTTGTTGTAGCCATGAACATTACAGGAAGACCAATGGCTGAAGAGAGGATCCAGTTGCAGACATTGATAATTTTGGCATTTCGGGGAGTACGGAAATCTAAGGCCTTGACAGGGTGGCAGACTGCAATGTATCGATCAACGCTCATGGTGCAGAGGGTGAATATGCTGGTGAACATATTATAGTAATCTATGGAGATCACGATCTTGCAAAGGATGGTTCCAAATGGCCATGTTCCCATTAGGTAATTCACACTCTGGAAGGGGAGGGTACTGGTGACTAAGGCATCTGCCAGAGCAAGGTTGAAAATGTAGATGTTGGTGGCAGTCTTCATTTTGGTGTATCTAGGAGATAAAGGAAGAAGAGTGTCCGAGTCAGTAAAAGACACTCATGTAAAATACAGGTAAGCTTCCAATAATAAATTTGCATGAATTAATAGGAAGCTTTTTTGAGATTCGATATAGAATTATTTTCCAGTATTAGCTTGGCTATTTATAATGATGTCAATGATGTGCCTATGGGCTGAACAGCTGTAATAATAGCAATGATGCTGCTTTGTTGAGTTTTTTTTTTTTTTTTTTTTTTTTAAGATAGGATCTTGCCCTGTTACCCAGTCTGGAATATAAAGGTATGAACAGGGCTCACTACAGCTTCAACCTCCTGGGCTCAAGAGATCCTCTTGCCTCAGCCTCCTGAGTAGCTGGGACCATAGGTGCATGCTACCATACCCTGTTAACTTAAAAAACCTGTTGTAGGGATAGGGTCTTAACATGTTGCTCAGGCTGGTCTTGAACTCCTGGGCTCAAGCAATCCTCTCTCCTCAGCCTCCCAAAATGTTGGGATTACAGGCGCGAGCACACAGTGAAGTTTTTTTTTTTTTTTTTTTTTGTAATATGTCAGTCATGTGATAGGTCTAATAGAAAGAGGGAGATTCCAGTCAAGTAGTAGAGGCAGACTGGATAGTAATTCTAAATATAAAAGAGAAAATTTTAGCTATATAAATATAGTTAAAATTATCAAGAACTATAATTGTGCACGTCTGTAGATAGTACGTACAAGAACACATGCACATACAAACACGCAGGCGATTATGGAGCACAGAGATGAGGCAACTCACAGAGCATAAGGCAAAGGGAATAGCAGGAGTAAGATGTGGAAGGCATCCTGGAAGTGCAAGTTTAATCTCGAAGTACATTCTTTGCAGGCTACGTCAGAAATATGTGAGTGTGAGAGAAATGAGGTTTGAAATGTCAGGCAGAAGCCAATCTGTGGGACAACTTTAAAATCATCTTACACAGGTTTTTGTAAGTAGAGGATTTGATTTTTATCATATCTAGTCAAGCAATTCTCGTCTATCATGACTATAGCTGATTATACGTGTAAAATTCAATTATTCATGGACTGTAACTTTTTGATGGCAATTGTCTTGAAATAGAATTTATCAGGATTCTTGCATTTGAAGGCATTAAGTTTGCTGCAGTACTAAAGCAGTACTAAAGCCATGAGTATGTCTGTATGTGAAATCACATATTTCATGCGTCTTAACATATTGGATTACATTTCACTTATGTGATAACTTTCCTGATAAATCTTATAGCTCGTATAATAAATGATCTTGATAGAAATGTGCCCAAATCTGACAATCTTACAAATTTAAATGACAATTCCAGGATCGATTTGCAAACTAAAAAATTATGTAAAATATCAATAAAAATAAATAAATTTTTCATTAACCATGCTAGAGAAACTAATTATTATTCCCTTTTCCATATAGAAAATGATAATCTGAAATTTTAATCAAATAATCAGGCATTCCTAAAGTATGCAGCCTACCATTTAAGAAAGCATTACAGAGGTATGGCAGGGAGTTAACTAACAAAAATATTTATTTTTCTGACCAAGTGCAGTTGCCCACATCTTTAATCCTAAGCTCTTTGGGAGGCCAAGGTGGGAGGATCCACTGAGCCTAGGAGTTCAAGGCTGCAGTGAGCTACGATCATGCTACTGCACTCCAGTCTGGGCAATAGAGCAAGATCTCATCTCTAAAAAATGAAAACAAATTAAAAAGATAAAAAAAGTATATTTTCTGAATTTTGTGATATTTGTGCTATTTGTCAAATTTTAAAACTTTATATTTGTAAATCATTTTTTCCATTGAATTATCTGCTTTAGTTTCTTATTTTTACTTGTGATTTTTTTATCGTTTTCTTACAGAGCACTCCAGTGTGTATGAGTCTTGAGCCCCACTCTACATATTTCCAGCCCCTCCCTGCTCACCTCTCAACTCTGGCTCTCAGAGCTGTTCCTGGAGGGAGCCTGATGATCTCTCTGGTGTCTCCCCTGGATTTCTGCCACAAGACTCTAGAGGGCTCACTTCCCACATGCAGCGCAGGTGCCTCTGGCTGGCACAAAAGTTCCCAACTCCATTAACCTCCTCTATCCCATTTTGGGTCTCCTCCTCATATTGAAAGACCATTTCAGTTTCTCTTTGCCAAGCATCATCTGGCCAGATTTCTACTCCCCTCTAGCTACTCCAGGGGACCCTGGGACACTCTGTGAAGTGTCTCTCTCCAGAATTCCAGTCAGGCGAGAGGTCACATCTCTTATTGTTTTGGATTCCTTTTGTTTATTTCCCCATAAAGAGTTTTTCCTAGAGTGAGGGAATGAGATGATCAGTTGGTAAAGGCAGGGCTCACACTGAGTTAATTTCTCTTGCTCTTTTTCTCCTATCCTCTCAAATGTCTTTCCTCAACCCAGAATGTTTTCTTCTCTCCTGTCTTCCTCTCTGTGTGGCAGGATCATCAACATTTTCAACAGCTTTTATTTTCGAATGTATGACCTATTGCATAAGCTGTATTCTTTCAGTTTTTAGGATGACCTTTCTTCCCCTCCACCCTCTTCCTGAGATAAGGTCTGGCTCTGTCGCCCTGGCTGGAGTGCAGTGGCACAATCATGACTCACTGCAGCTTTGACCTCCTCTATGCAAGCGATCCTCCTACCTCAGCCTCCCAAGTAGCTGGGACCACAGGCATGCGTCACCATGCCTGGCTAATCTTTCGTACTTTTTGTAGAGATGAGAGATGGGGATTCACCATGTTGCCCAGGCTGGTCTCAAATTCCTAGGCTCAAGAGATCCTCCCTCCTTGGCCTCCCAAAGTGCAGGTGTGAGCCGCCACATGCAGCCTAGGATATGTTTTTCATAATTAAGTGCAAGCTTTCAGAATTCATGAAAAACATTTTCCTTTCTCATCCATCTAGTTTTGCATCTTAAAGCTAAAGCTTTCAAAATTCTATAATGGAATTGATAGTCAATGGCTCTCCCTGTGGGTTCTTTTTCCCTTTCTTGGAAATACTGGCTTACTCTCATAGTCTGGTTTTAAGGATAACAGACCTGCAGCATAAAAAGGAATTACTGAAAGGGGATATACGCAATGGATATTATTTTTATTTCTTATTTTTGCTAAGTGCCTATTATGTAACTGGTAAGGAAATTAAATAGGCAGTTGGAATGTGGAGTTTAGAAGAGAGGACAGGGCTAGAAATGTGACTTTGGGAGTAGTTGACATATGGGTAGTTTATATGAGGAAGTAGTAGTTTAACTGAGGAAGAAAACTTAAGGAGAAAGTATATGCACGGAAGAGAAGAGGGCCTAGGTTAAAGCTCTGAGAAAGGCAGAGGAACTTAGAAATGGCCAGAGAATTTAAGCAAGAAACCCAGAGCTGGGGTTAAAGAAGTCAAAAGAAGAAAGATTATCATGAAATCTATAGTGGTCAAATTTGCTGAATGCGAGGAGATTGAGTAACAGAAATATTTTCACTGCCTTTGAGAAAATACCTGTAAAGAACCTTGGCAAATTCCATGGAGTAGTAGGGTTGGATGATAAACAGATAAGAGTTAAAAAAAAAAAAAAAAAAAGTAAATGGGAAGTGAGGATCTGGAAGCCAATGATTTAGAAAAGTCTTTGGAGATATTTTGGTACCAAGAGGGAAAGAGAGAACTGTGAGTTCAAGAAAGATTTTTTTTTGTTGTTTTGATTAACTAATTAGTTTTTATTTTTATTTTTTGAGATGGAGTCTCACTCTGTCGCCCAGGCTGGAGTGCGATGGCACCATCTCAACTCACTGCAATCTCCACTTCCCAAGTTCAAGCCCCAAGTTCAAGCGATTCTTCTTCCTCAGCCTCCTGAGTAGTTGGAGTTACAGACGTGTGCCACCATGCCCAGTTAATTTTTGTATTTTTAGTAAAGACAGGGTTTCACCATGTTGGCCAGGCTGGTCTTGAACTCCTGACCTCAAGTTATTCACCCACCTCAGCTTTACAAAGTGCTGGGATTACAGGCATGAGCCACCATGCCTGGCCTTATTTTGTTTTTTAAAAAACGTGATTTGAAGGTTGGGTGAAGTGGCTCATGCCTGTAATCCCAGCACTTTAGGAGGCCGAGGTGGGAGGATCACTTGAGGCCAGGAGTTCAAGACCAGCCTGGCCAAAGTGGTGAAACTCCGTCTCTAAAAACAAAACAAAACAAAAATCCTAGAAACAACCTCCTTATGATTTGATATAATAGAGAATGTATGTGTGCTACTAAATCATGTTGTAGCAATGAAAACTTGAAGAAGCAGGGAAAATAGAGTATGAGCAATGTCCTTGAGAAACTGAAAGGGGGTGGGGTTTGGAGCACATGCGGATTGGTTGATTTCTTCTTGATTATGATGAGCAACAAGACTAAAAATATGGGTACAGATACAGAAGAGGCTTGTAGATCTGTTGAGAATTTTTTTTGCCTGCTTTTATTGTTTTTTATTGAAAGACCTCTATTAACTGCATTTTTTTCTGTTTTATAATTTTAATTTGTTTTACTTGTCAGCAAAACTTCAAGAAAGAATCCATATTCACTGTTCTGAATTCTATTGCAAAGGAACAAAATGAATATTTGTTGGATGAATAAATAAAATAAAACCCAGAAGTATCTATGAAAGGAAATGATAGAGAAGAAAAGGTCGGAGGTCTAGAAGAGAAGAGAACAGGAAAGTAAATTTAGTAGAGAAACATTTGCTTGGCAATATTAGGTGCTCATTTGAGATTTGTAGTTTATAAAAAAGGAATGAGGATGATGGCTTGAAGAGCTCAGTTTTGGGGGAGGTATCAGATTCAGGGTCTGGAAAGGAAGAGGTGCTGGTCTGAAAGGTGATGATTCTTACAAGGGAGATTTTGGAGTTCTTGATGTCCAGTTCTAGGATATGACTATGGAAGATTGGGCCAAAATATACCTAGAGTGAAATATTGATAATGAGCCCGATTCAAATACTATCTCCTTCATGATGTCTTTTGATCCTTTCCACGGGTG